CCTCGTCCCTCGTGTGTGTGTCACCGTGACAATTAGTTTTGGTAACAAAAACATACACACTGTTTTAGAGATGTTAAACTCTAAACAGCATTGTTCTAGCCATGCTGTGACATGAACCAAGGATTTTGTAAGTTCATTTGCAACTTATACACTGCTTCCGTGTATATAGATTACAGTGTCATCCGCATACATTTGGATGTTAGTGTTGGGACAGACGGATGGAAGGTAATTGATATACAACGTGAAAAGGAATGGACCCAGAATAGATCCTTGGGGAACACTTGTGGATATACTTAAGGGGTCTAACTTATAATTGTGCATTCTGACATACTGTGTGCGACCGGACAAATGTGATTCAATCCATCTCAAAGTCTAATAATTTAGACATAATAATTCTGTGATTTACAGTGTCAAAAGCCTTCCTGATGTCAAGAAACACCTCGCCCCAACAACCCCACCTTTGTCTAATAGAGACCTAACTTTTTCACTGAAGTAACGGTTTGCCATCTCAGTTGAAAAGTTTGCTCTGAAGACAAATTGCATTGAATGCAAAGCAAATGAACTGGTATTCAGATCATTAGTGATTTGGAAACCATCGGTTTCTCTGCAACCTTTGAGACAATAGATAAAATAGTAATAGGTCTGTAATTACTAGCAGAATGAGAATCTCCTCTTTTGAATAGAGGCACAATAAAAGATGACTTCCAAGCATGTGGGAACATCCCTTGAGAAACTGAAAGGTTGATCATTTTGGTGATAGGATTAACTAGTGACTCACTAAGCTCCAAATATAAGCATACCAAATATATATTTTGCTCTGGACGGTTTAAGAGATGTAATTGTTCTTATGATGTCTTTACCACCTTGTTCCTTAATGTAATGAAATGTTGTAATTTCATAGTGGAACGAAATCATGACTTAACTAATATTTTTTTGAGAATATTCGACTGTCTTCCTCCTGATCTTTTCCGATTAATAAATCACCCCATTTAATCTGATGGAACGCACTTCTAAAGTCATCTAGTTTATGTTTTGGGACGCCATAAGGATCATATTTCCTTAAGAATGAATTGAATCTCTACTAGATAATTTTCTGTCCACTAAAATCAAATTGTGAGCAGAGAGGCCTGTTAAAGGGGTCATATGATGCGATTTCAAGTTTTCCTTTCTCTTTGGAGTGTTACAAGCTGTTTGTGAATAGATAAGATCCCTAAAGTTGCAAAGACTAAAGTCTCAAACCCAAAGAGATATTTTTTATAAAAGTTAAGACTGGTCCACTCCCTCCTAAAATGCCTAGTTTAAACCCGCCCCCACATGTCTACGTCACGATGTGGGAAGATTTGCATAACGTCGCCCAAAAGAAAGAAGGCATAACTTTATTGTTCCTGCCGCCGCCATTTTGTGAAGAGAAGACGCTGTGTGTTTCGTTGCGAAAGCGAAAATACTTTGTTTGGCCTTCCAAAAGAGGACACGACTAGAAATCAGTGGTTAAGTTGTATTTACAACACTGTTCCAGAACAGTTCAACCCAAATATTCAGATGTGTGCAACGCATTTTACGGAGGACGAGGACTGTTTCCTGGGAGAGTAGCCTACAATGCCCGTGTTCTGACAAATAATGCTGACTCACAGACTGTAAGTATGTTGTTTGTCATTTCTCCGATCACAAATGCAGACATGGTTTTATGTTTATGTGGCGCAATACGCAACGCAACGCATAACAACACAGTATAAGAGACAGTATAAATCAGTAATTATGTCCCCACTGGATGCAACAAATGCCTCGTTTATAATGGGTTTTATTGGTTTTATTGG